TGTCCCGGGAGGGGTCCCAGTGTCCCGGGAGGGGTCCCGGTGTCCCGGGAGGGCTCCGGGGTGTCCCGGGAGGGGTCCCGGTGTCCCGGGAGGGCTCCGGGGTGTCTCGGGAGGGGTCAGGGATGTCCCGGGAGGGCTCCGGGGTGTCCCGGGAGGGGTCAGGGATGTCCCGGGAGGGGTCAGGGATGTCCCGGGAGGGGTCCCGGTGTCCCGGGAGGGCTCCGGGGTGTCCCGGGAGGGGTCAGGGATGTCCCGGGAGGGCTCCGGGGTGTCCCGGGAGGGGTCCCGGTGTCCCGGGAGGGCTCCGGAGTGTCCCTCGGGGCCCTTGCAGCCCGTGTCCCCCGCCGCAGGGACAGAGGGGCTGCACCCCCGCTCCCGATCGCGGCCGGACACGGGTGCGATGAGCTGCGCGGACGCAGCCAGCGATGGGTCTCGGAGCTGCCGCCCCCACCGGCTTCTTCCTCCTCGCCCGCCAGCCACGGCGGGAGGGGACGTGTGACACCGTTCCCCGTGTCCTGCCGGTGAACCGTGAGGGGAGCAGGGGGGTCTGGCACGGCCGGGGGCTGCTCACACGTTGGGCGCCACGGGGTGCTCCATGCTTGGCATCTGGTCGGGAGCGGGTTCAAGAGTTCAGCCCTGTCCTCCGCGTTCCCTGAATGCCACCGCCAGCCTGAGCAAAACCTTCCCTGCCCCTGGAGAGCCTTGGCACTGGGGACCCTGCGCCTCGTTCGGGCAGCGTGTGCCCGCCCGGATGGGGCACCGAGAAGGCTGGTGGAGCCGGCAGGTGTCCCGGTGTGACGGGGACTGGAGAGAGCGGCTGGCACGGCGCTGTGTGCGAGTCCCATGCCACCATCTCCCTAGGGACCACGAGGTCCGGAGCGGGGACATCTGTGGGATATGGCTCCCCGTGCCTGCGGCGAGGTGGTTTCGTGGGGACGTAGTCCCTGCTGTCCCCAGGAGCCAGACATTTCCAGGTCGTGGTCCGGGACGGCACCCAGAGCCAAGCTGCCCCAGCATCCGCACCGGGAGGCCTGTCACAAGATGCTTGTGGTCCCCAGACACACGCAGGTGTGACCTCTGCATGGCACGTCCCCTCCGTCACACGGTGCCAGCGCATCCTCACGCATGCCTGAGGCGCAGGCAGCGGAACGGGGCAGGGGTGACACGCAGCGGGGACACTGGCGTGAAGGGGGGTGCCGGTGCCAGGGGTCTGGTGGCTCGTCGGGGGAGCGCGGGAGGTTCACGGCGGGGTCACCCCGCGGCGGTGGCACTCAGCGGGGACAGTCTTAATGCGCTGGGACGGAACCTCGGCTCCCTCTAATCATCGCCTGGCCGGGCAACTCCCCCAAGCCCCGCAGCCCCCTCCCCACTCTGACCCTGGCTCGGGAAGGGGGCAGAAACCTCCTCCCTGCCGGAATGTGGTGGCCGCAGACACGCTCTCCTCTGGGGCAAGGTGAGAGGTGTGGACCCTTCCCCAGAGTTCTGCGCCCTCCTGGCACCCTGCATCCCTGCCCGCTTGTTTGGGGTGCAGGACTGGGCTGGTGCAGGGACAGCCCTGCGTGAGGGGCTGTGGGGGACGCCCCAGGCTGTGCAGGTTGCCAGGGGGCGGCAGCAGCACACCGAACATGGCAGGACAGCCCCAGGGTGTGCCGGAACCGAGGGAGTCCTGCCACAGCCAGGCGCACCAG